ACTATAATATAGGCATGCAAAATGACTAGTAGGATTTCTTAATCATAGTAACCAGTAGTCTAAGGTCCTTCACAGCAACCGAGAAAAGGAGAACTTAGCTGCTGGGCACAAGATAAATGGAAGAGTCACTTCATACTACTATAAACACACCCCTACCACAACCAATGTAAAATCTTCCCTGTAAGAGACAACATACAGATTTGGGCGCGTATCTAATACTAGGGGCGAGGGAGTGTTTTTCTGTGTGAAGGGATTACCCTTTTCGAGCTCGCCAAACATGACGAGAAACGTGTCCTCACAACTTAGAACATGACTCAACACTAACCCTCTTAGCCGACAACTCCAAGCCTGGTTGCGTCCTGCTGCCGCCAATCGTGTCCAAAGGTAGCACCTGCAGGAGTTAGCCTAAACCCTACCTGTCGCCTGACACGTGGCTTCATCATGGACGGAGTTTTCATGGTGACCATATGGAGGGTAAACGACTGAGAATGTTGGGGATCATGCGGGGCAGGGGCAATTGCAAATCATAATGCAGCTTCAATCCTTACCTTTTATCATGCTTTCGACTTGGTGGGCTATGGCTATGGCAACTCATCAGGGTATGTGGGGGCAATCACAGCTGAGATTCTGCGATGCTTCTTGTTCCGTCACGTACCTTTTCGTTGGTACCTTGCTCATCCAAATAAGCAGTGAGTTGCTTGATTCCTCTTCCAGCTCAAGCACACAAAAGAACATTTAAGCAGCCGTCGTAGAACACTATACAGAGCGTTCCGCTCCCACAGCATGGCTGTGCGCAATACTACACTCATGGGATGCTACAATGCTTCCGTTGCAGTCACCCCTTTTGACAAAAAACAAACCTCACACCCCTTGATATGAACCATTAGCCTCAGGGTAGGATTTACTTTGAGCTTTGCATTGCTGTCCCGCATGAGACCTACACCACCAAGCCTAAACCTGAACCCTAGGTTCGAGCCGCCGACGAGGCTTTTTGTGTTCATGACGCTGCAACAGCGAGGCCCTGGTAGAGACCTGCCACCGGTCATCAGAAGAAGATCAGAGGTTCTCTGAGTAGGGTACTGGGAGATTCTCGGGGCCCCCTTTATGGGGATAAAACGTTTAGGGCTTGTCTACCAAACTTGTTCCTTTCACTATCTCTCAGACTATGGCAGTACGTCCCAGCCGTATCAAGATAATCTAGGCCCCGTGCATTCGCTCAGAAAGTCCAGGGCGGCCGTTTTTTTCAGCTTACTGCGCGCCGCAGCTGGTTTGGATGTGGCGCAGCGTCTCCTGAGTGCACAGGAAGCTTGCTACCATGGCAAGCGCTAAATGGGGATTTCCAAAAGTCAGGGACTGCTACTGCTACTACTACTGTTGCCACTGCTACTGTTGCTGCTGCAAGTAGCTAGTACAGCTAAGCAGAACAGAGCAACAAGGCTTCTGCCCATGCTCGGTTAGAGTCACGCCAGACCAGCAAGAACACAAACACTTTACCGTACCACCCTCCTCCTCACCATCATCACCATCAGCACCATGATCAACACCACCCTCATCATACTATTAATGCCAATGACCATTACTAATACTTTGTATTCCTATCATTACTACTATTCTTACCATCATTATTTGAGCCATAGTCTAAACTCCTAGCATGCCCCTTAATAACCCCCTATAATAATCCCCTATATAATCCACTATATAATCCCCCTTAAGGAGTTAGACTACCTGTGGTGCTATCTGCCGCGTTGCCTTGGGGAGAGCGTAGAGCCGGCGTTGGACCAAGCTAGGCCTGAGCTAACTCTTTCACTGCTTAGGCTCTTAGAGTTAAGGCTTTAGGGACCCTTAAAGATTAGGGTTATAATCCCCCTTAAGTAAACAGAACACTAGGGTTATATTTAGGTTTCAGAGTTTAAGGTTTATAGTCCCCCCTTAGTAGATAGAATATGGCTTTGGATATATCATGATAAGATGCGCATATAACCCTTATTCTATCTACTCAAGGGGGACTATAAGGCTTAAAAGCGTTAGTTTGGCAGAAGTATAGGGAAAGTCGTTCGAGGGTTTAGCTACTGCCTTGTAGGGTGCTCCGTATATGCCATGAACAAGCCGAATAATAGGTTTTGACGGCCAACTCCTAGGGATCCAAGTATACAAATAATACCTACATGTTGCCCTAAAGTCTGTAAATATTACCTACATTGGGCTATTTGGATCCTTATGGAATGCTTTCTAAAAACAGTTTGATAATCCTTCTACACGGCAGCTGGTAAACGTCTCCCCGCATTCTTCTCCAGGCACTTAACGGGACACATCTCGAAATACACTCAATCCTGGACTTCCAACTCACTTTATGGCCACATCTCCTGGCCAAAGCAATGCCACACCTGGATCCGAACAGAACGCTTTATAGAGGATTGGCAGAGTCATAGCCCTTGACCGACATCATCTTCCCAAATCATAGCCTTCCAAAGCTGTTGCGAAGGTTGGACAAACACGCAAGGTGCCTTCTTGGGCATAGTATTTGCCGGGTCTAACATAACAGCTTTCTTTTTTACTTTGTTGGATCGGAGTGGCCAGCATATGAAGAAGCAAGCTTGTGAAGCTTCAGGGCATGTGCACAAGAGAAGGGAATAAAGGGCTCCGGGCCCAATTGCAGCATGGGAGTTTTGGGGAAGCATCAACAAAGGGGTGCCGACAGCAGTGATGCAAGCCACCTGAGCCTTCATCACCTCACGATTGAACTCCTTTTCGTGTCGCGCATGCAGGTCTATGCAGCTGCCGTCAGACCGTCAGAGCTTTGCTGTTGGTTGGGGCTTGTCCTCAGCTGCGGGAAGATGACAAGAAGCTAGGGAGTCTGTGAACGCGCACTTCTGATGGGCTATGAAATGCCGTGGTCATGAGGAAGCGACCCTCCAAGTGATGAAAGAGCAGTGAGAAAACGGAATAGAACGACATGATCGTGATAATCCGGGTTGCTGTTAAGGAACTCAAATTAAGTTACTATATTGGGGAAACCCCATTATTTAATATATATATATATACCAATTATGGTTACTTAATTTAAGTTCCTTAACAGCAACCCAGGATAGTGGGCAGCACAGATAAAGACTTGCAAGGCATGGAACGTGATGGTGGGAAGAGGAAACAAGTCACTATATGAGCCATTAACCCCTAGTATCCCCTTAATAACCTGCATAGTAGTCCCCTATATGAACCCTTATATAACCCCCTTTAAGGAATTTAGACTATTGCCCATATACCTTAATGTCCGAGTCCCTCCGGCCTAGTGCTTGCCTTCACTCCCGGCCAGAATTGCCACACAAAAAACGCGCAACGAGCCTGCCAATCTTGAAGCACCCAGGGACCGCTGTCGCGTAAGTGGGAGCGGATCCCTACAACAATCCCCGAGTAAACCCCAAGAGTAATTCCTAAAACGTGAACCCTAGACCCGTAAATCCTAAACCCTAGACCCCTAAACCCTAAACCCTAAAGCCTAGACCCCTAAACCCATTAACCCGTAACCCGAGACCCACAAACCCTAAACCCCTAAACCCGAGACCCCCAAACCCTAAACCCGAGACCCCTAAACCCTAAACCCGGTTCTCCATGCCCAAGAGTCATTCCACCAGGGTAGCTCGGACCAGGGCCTGAAGTCTGGGTCAAAAGAAAATCCCCAAAAACACCGGTGGATGGAAGGCAGTTGACCCTAGAAGTCCAGTTACCTACATAATTTGGTTCCTGTCCTTAAGTCCCTATTGCAATTATACTATCTGTAACCCATGGACCTACTATGTTGGTACCTGGGCTTCTAGGGTAAGGCTTAGGGTTTAGGGTTAAGGGAAGAACTCTTGCACCATTGAAGACCCCCTTACATCTTCTGTATGCCCTAGGGTCTTAGGCATATACGGTAGTGCAAGATTTCCTCTCATCCACAGTAGTTTCCCACATACTGTGTTTCATAGAGTCTGAAGTATATACGGTGGTGAGAAATTTCCTCGCATCCACAGTAATTAGTAGGGCATGTTGCCAGAATCGCCTTGTCCTCCTGAACCTTTTTGAATAACAAGCTTGGTGCATGCCTAGCTACTCAAAGCCAAAGAACTAAACGCTGAACCTAAACAATAAATTATCACTTTGCAGCTCCTGAGCCGTCAGCCCGATGCCCAACCCCTGTAAAGAACCCTGAGAACATCTCATTTAACTCTAGGCGTTCAACTTCCTGGCAATAAAAACCACAAACTAAATGTTTTAAAATTAAACGCATTACCCTAAGAGTCCAAGTGCCTAATAATCAGATACTTACCCAAAACCTGTACTATGATTACTATTACCCAAATTCCAGGTACTTAATTATTGGGTACATGGACCCTCTGGCTTAAATGCAGGGATTCCCTCTAGCCCTCCGCCTGAGATCCAGCTCGAAGGCCCACGCTGAGCGATGCTGATGCGCCACATGCCAGTAGGTCTCCTTTGCTTTAATAAGAATATGTAGTCGTAGTTGTTCTTCTTCTTATTGGTGGTGGTAGCGGCGGTGGCGGTGGCGGCAGCAGCAGCGGTAGTGGTAGTGGTAGTAGTAGCAGTATCAATGTGTATCACTGTTTTGTATGCTGTACTCTTAAGAATTATGTAGGGTTACACAGGGCTTGTGATGTTGTCCAAGGTAGTATAAGAATCATATGGGGATATTACCCCGGAATTGGAATATCAAAAGGAAAAGGAAAAGGAAAATACCATGGAACATCAGAATATACAGGGGCTCAAAGGGTTTGGGTTATACCCGGGTTTCCCAAACTTAGGGTACCTTATTGAAGGTCCATATAATACGGCCTGTGCCCTACACCGGCTTCCTGTGGACTGCTGCATCTAGCAGAGCCGTCTAGGCGAGCTCAAAAAAAAGCCGCTTCTTGCTCCAGTGCTAAAAGCAAGAGGAAGCACTTCAAGCATGTTAGGCGCACTTCCCGATGCTAGATCATCCTGTGCAATCACTTCCCTTTCACCTGTTACTCTGCAACAAATCCTGTCGGAGGAGTTCCAATATGGCAAACCACCAAATGTGCCCAAAGCTCTGCAACCTGCACTGGATCCAGCAGCCCATCACGGGCCCCGACCGTCTTCCGCAGCTCCGCAAAGTTTTCTGTGCCAAGCATCTTGCCCAGGGTGTCCTAGGCTGCGATCCCACTTGGCCTGCCGACTCCACCAAGTTCTGCAGCAACCATCAATGACCATAGCAACTGTCATAACGGAAAAAAGACATAGTAGTGATTCTATCATAGGAAGCCTAATAATAGTAGTACTACTGCCGCTGCAGAGCGTCTATCTAGGGTCACCGAGTCACCGAAGATTAGGCTGTCCAACAAACTCATGATGAGCAACATGCATTAATATACATAATATACCATACCATACTAGTTGCCATTTCAATGTCCATTATCCCAACATAACCCCAGTAGAACCATAATATTACCCCAATGTTCCTGAACCCTCTGCACAGAATCGTCCGAGGGTCTGGTGCATCCACCGGACCATCCACAATGATGTGCGCCACATGGATACCTTGTGTAGGGGTTATATTGGGACTATATAGAATGATATAGGCGTTCTATAGGGATTATATAGAATGTTATTCGCGTTATATAAGGATTATATAGAATAACATAGGGGTTATATAGGGATTATATAGCCCGTTTGCTGGTGCCGCCTGTCTGACATTCGCTTGTAATAGGCGATCCCTGCCTAGGCACTTCCTAAAAACTAATGCCAGAGGATTCAGCTGCCCTGAGAATGATTTGTCTTTGTAACCCTTCTACAATTACAGTGATCTTCTATATACGACATGAGGAGGGGAGGGCTGCACGACCTAGGTACTCCCAGCTACATTAGGTAATCTGAACTGGTGCACGCAACGCTCAATCTGCAGACCAAATGCTGTGCAGTTACTACTAAGTTACCACTACAGGTACTCGCGGCTCTTATTACGCCAACACCCTAAACCCTAACTAGTGCAACAGACTTTGCTTCTTTGAGTTTTTGCCTTACGTCCCCTACCTGAAGAAGGACTCTAATACGGCTAGATACTGCACCTTGGCCATCCCAAACATGGAGGGTGTAGGATTCAGGGTTTAGGGTTCAAGGTTAGGGTTTACGATTTAGGGTCCTGAATGCAAGCCTAAACCCTGGACCTAAAACCCAAACTGCCCTCTGAGCGGTCGCAAAAGCCAAGGCTCCTTTGCGCCCGAACTCCGCATTCAGACTCTGACACAACATCCTCCGGCCACCCATCGCTGCTGCATGAGAATGCTGTCCTTTACCCAAATCTTGCAGTGAAGGGAATAGGAGTGGGAAAGGGAAGAGCCAAACAGACTGGGACCAGCAAAACATGTAGCAATAGGGCTATATGGTCTACGGAATGTCTGGCTGCTTAGTGATACTACAGCATGGTGGAAAAGAATCCGGAAAATTCAACTGACAAAACTGACAGCGGGCTTGGTAGGGGCTCTAGACATCATACGTGCTGGTCGTTAGCAGAGAATAGATAAAGGAGGGCAAAAAAGCATGGAAACCCTTATATCACTGCGGGATTATACTTCACCAGGAGGAATAACGGTTCGCCGCACTTACCTAATTGCCTAATGCGGAGTGCACGACAGTGCTTTTTTCGCTGGCCTGGCTAGAGGAATTAATCCTCGGAATAGAATTATACTACCTAAATTGCTCCGGACGGAGGACTTGGTGGAGGAGTCTACGGGGGACGTCGTCTGGGTAGGACGTGCGCAAGGATGCGCAAGTGCGACCAGCATTCATCCTGCCGCAGTATGGTGCCGCCATATGGTTCCTTTTTGGTAGAGTATGAAGGATTCTCTCTAAAAGTTTTTGGTACAAGGCCACTTAATGATTAATATTGTCATTTGACAATGACCCCGAGATAGGGCGTCGGGTGGCAAGAGGCCTTCCAAGTGAGAAGCCGACCACCTCTTCATCTAATGTAGGGGGGCTGGGCACCGTACTGTCCCACCCAGTGAGAGTCCATAGCAGTGGTAATATCAAGGGCCTTATATAACTATATCACACAAGTACTTTCGAGCTGTTACTGGGTGGGGGCAGTACCCAATGCAGGGGAATAAGGACCAAACATGTAAGACGGCTTTCGGGGGCATCTGAAACTTGCAGTATACACTGCTAATGAGGGGGTGTGAACAATGTGGTCATTGACCGCCGCTCAGCGTGCTCTGGCAGAAAATCATCATCCAGGCTTCTACCATGTTCAATCAGCTTCTTGTAACATCCTGGAGCTATCAAACATTGTTGTCAGGGGTCCTTCGTTACCCCGGACAGCGGCTGTCGATGAAGTCACCAAGAAGCCTCAATCATTGGTGGTTCAGGGGTGAAGGTTTGGGGTTACGGCTTCGTGTGCTTTCAAATACACCCTGGTTGTCAAGCTCGAAACCCTAAACCCTCAATGTTCCAGGGTAGACCCATGGGTGGTCTCAGGGAAGTATTGCCATTCTCTTCAACTGTGCTCTGCCAGATAGGTCTATCATGACCATCTGGCGTTCCACAGGTAAGAAGATCAACAGTAGCTAGCTGAGGCGCAGAGAGCACTAGTTAAGGCTTCTTACAAGGTCCCTCAGTAACAAAATCCGAATTTGCCTACTGTACCAAGCAGCGCTAAAACAGCACAAGTTGAGCCGTGACCACACAATATGAAGGAAATCACATGCAACTTCAGAGGTTGGCGTGATAAGACACTTCTGTGATGCCTCCTGTTTGGGGCTATTGAAAACGCAAGCCTAAACATTGTAAGCTCTCCCCTAGCACTACCAAATCTTTAGGCTCCCAGAAATATGTGTGACTAGGTCGCCGTAAAAACTATCAGGAAAATCAGGAATTCGCCCGGAGTGGCAGCCATGAAGGCAACCAGCAACTCTCGCCCCTCTAAATAATTCAGGTGGATGTAATTCCGTGCCCACAAGGAGTCCTATACAGTAACCTTAACCCTAAATCCTAAAGGTTCCAAAAACTGCTACGAAACTGGCGGCCAGTGGCAACCCTTCCCCCTCTGCACCATCGCAGGCATAGCCGCCTGAGCAGCTCGAAAGAGGCCGAAGCAAGCCATACGCCATCCAAGCTCGAACCTTGAAGTCCAGAGTTCAGGATTAAGGGTTTAGGGTTAAGGGCTTAGGATTAATTATCTAGGATTAAGGGTTTAGGATTAAGGGTTTGGGGATAAGGGCTTAAGATTAAGGGTTTAGGATTTAGGGTTTAGGTTTTAGAGCTTAGGATTTAGGGTTAAGGGTTCAGGATTTAGGGTTTAGGATTACGGGTTTTGGGGTAAGGGTTTAGGATTTAGGGTTTAGGATTAATAGTTTTGGATTAAGGGTTTTGGATTTAGGGTTAGGATTAAGGGTTTAGGGATAAAGGTTTAGGATTCAGGGTTTAGGATTTGGAGTTTAGGCTTCTGGTTTAGGATTTAGGATTAAGGGTTCAGGATTTAGGGTTTAGGATTCCGGGTTTTGGGGTAAGGGTTTAGGATTTAGGGTTTAGGGATAAAGGTTTAGGATTGAGGGTTTAGGATTTGGAGTTTAGGATTGTTAAGGGTTTACGATTCAGGGTCTTGGATTTAGGGTTTAGGATTTATGGTTCAGGCTCTTGGCGTTGCAGGGCTTATAGGGCTTGGGGCTCAGGCTGTAGGGTTTAAAAATCCGGGTTTGGACTGCTGGACTTGCGGCTCAGAATCTGGGATTCAACCTTAAACCCAAAAACCCCAAAACCCAAAACCCAAAACCCCAAAACCCAAAATCAAAAAAAAACAACAAAACCCCCAAAACCCTGGGTGGCATCCTTAGGAGCCTTTGAGTAGCCTTCCTTTTGCCTTTATGAACCAAGGTTTTGGGTTTGGGGGTTTTGGGTTTAAGGTTTTGGGTTTTCGGTTTTGGGGTTTAAGGTTCTTTTGCCTTTATGAACCCCCCAGACCCCCCTAAAGGATCCAAAAAAATGGAACCCTTTAAAGGGGTTTATAGGGGTCTATATAAGGGAATGTAGGGTTTAGGGATTAGGGTTTAGGGTTTAGGATCCAAAACATGGACCCCCCCCCCCAATATGAACCTATTACTACATTGGGGAAACTTGGGGATTATTAGGGGGCTCCATTTTTTGGATCCTTTAGAGGGTCTGGGCCTGTCCGAAACAAAGACCAAGCAACTGCTTCAGCGAGGTTTCCAAAGCCCTGAACCTACCCAGCAGCTGCTTCAGGGAAGCTCCCTTGACCTTAGCCCTAAACTCGTTCCAAGCAACTGCTTCAGGGAAGTTGATGCAAGAGATCTTGTTCCAATTTGTGCGCCAAGGTTAAACACCAGCACTGCGATAGGGCCAGCCTGTTCACGGTTTAGGGTTTGGGCCGACTTTCCCCGTAGAATTCCCTTACTTTGGAATGATACCTTTGTGCAGCTTCATGGGGCTTGCTGAACAGTGTCTTTCATCCACGCAACTGGCTACTGCTTTCGAATTCTAAACACGCATAGCAGCCAACAAATGGTGCTCATATGAGGCTCAACGCATTTTTAGAAGAAGGTACCCCTTGTGCTCCTACCGTATGCGGTAGAATTCGTACACAAGAACACGCCAACGGTGAGTTGTCATTTGAGTTGTGTTTCTGTCTCTTGGCCCATGTCCTCCAGCAGCCTCGTGAAAGAAAGAGGAACTTCTTCGTTTCGTGAAGCCTCTGAGCCGAAGCTAGAGTGCAACCGGAAGGAATTGGCAAAAACTGCAGGCCCAATAGTCGGAATCATGTTTTGCAAGCCTTGTTTCCGGACTCTTTCGCCTTTCCCAAGCCCGCCCGCTAAAGGCCTTCTTCTCGGTCTCTTCGACGAGGTTTTCAATGGCACCGGGCTCCACTGCATTGATAAGGTTGCCCACAGCAGAGCCTCCTTCTGCTTGGATGTCATGAACCTCAGGGTCTAAGGATCATGGAAAATAACATGGAAACTAGTGTATCCATCCCAGAGGGTCCATGTACCCAAGAATTAGGTACTTGGGTTTGGGGTAATAGTAATTATAGTGCAGGTTTTGGGTAAGTATATGATTATTTGGCACTTGGACCCTTAGGGTATAGGGGTTATACAAGCAGAACGGAAGAGAAAATGGAAGCTACTATTTAGGGGGTTTAGGGTTGAAGGTTTCGGGTCAAGGCTTACGGAACTCTGAGCGGGATTGTAGATGGCTACCTCTAAAAGACCATAGGTTCTAGAGTCTAGAAAAGGAAACTCCAACAATTGCCGGAGGTTGACATGGCTTCTTCCTGGTTGCATGCGCAGGGGTTGATGCATTTTCATTTGGGGGGCTTGCTTCTGCAAACTCTCCCGACGCTCTCTAAACCCTAAACCCTAAACCCCTGAACCCCTAAACCCTAAACCTAAACCCTAAACAATGGCTCAGGAACCATCTCATCCAGCCCCTTCTGGTCGGATCTTCGAGACAGCACGACGTGATATCCACCCTTCAGGGTATGCACAGACAACCAACGAAATGCAGCCATATCAAACTCCATCCAAACGAGCCACCTGATTAATTAGGTAGATTTGGAAAGTTTCTGCTGCTGTCAAGATCCAAATATCCAATCTGGAACCTGCAGTATCTCTTAGCAACATTCCATCTTATAGTAAGCTTCCCAGATGAATGCATGGCAGAAACCGAACAAATGCTACATCAAAGGTTATCAGGGTCCAAAAAGGATGCGGAGTTCAAGGCTCTAAGGCTGGGCACCATCTGCTTGCAAACAAGAGGATACGCATGATTTCATGAATGGCCGAAGCCTCTATCCTTGGGATCAGCCAAGAAGGGACAAAGCTGGAATACTTTCAAGGCACGACATGGGGCCCCGCAAGTGCGGGCATCATGTGCACGCAGACCAGAAACCTACCGGTTGGTAGTAATAGAGTGCAGCAGTGGATACCTATAGTAGCCCTCATATGACCCCAACAACCTGGAAGTTTCCGTGTTTTTTGCCATCCCTTCATTCCGTACCAACCTCTAAACCCAAAACTGTCAACTCTGTATGATCGTAGAGTATCCTATATAGCCCTGCAAGGTAACAACCAGCAAGCAACGTGGGACACTAAAGCCTCTGAAAAGCTGCCCGAAAACAACACACAAAATGTAAACACAGGGTGCACAGCCCAGAGGCATCTCATCTCACATACTCCCCATTCAACGCACATGTAGCCCCAAAGGCTTTCGGGGCACATCATACAAAACTTATACAGGGATCGCACGGAGGTAATGCTCCTAATCCTTTAGGCTTCTGCCCTAAACTCCTATATAACCCTGATGCAACCCCTAATCCGTGTTCACCTAAACCCCTATATAACCCTCATGAAAGCTTTAGTCTAAACTCCTAGCATCCCCTTAATAACCCCTATAGTAGTCCCCATATATTCAGTTATATAACCCCCCTTTCAGGAGTTTAGCCTATAGCTCATGTAACCCCTAATCCGCTTTCACCTGACCTGGGCGAACCGCTTGGCCACAGTTCCACCAATCCCAGCGCCGGCGCCGATGACGAGGCAAACCGGCTTCATGGCTTTGGAGCGCGGTTTAGGGTTTAAAGTTTAGGGAAAGGAAACCTAAAAGTTTGAAAAGGTATAGAGTATCGGGGCTACATGGTTAACAGTTGGTTAATGGCAATGGAAGAGAATGTGGAATCTACACTGCTATTCAGTGTTTTGGGGTTTATGGTTTGAAGTAAGTTTAGGGCTTGGGGTTTAGGGATTTGCGTTGAGGATTCGGGGCTCAGAGTTCAAAGTGTGGGGTTTAGGGCTTAGGCCTGAGGACTGTGAGGGCTTGCACAGCGTACTTTCTCGAATAGCAAAAAAGAATACAACAAGGACTCCCCCTCCGCCTCCCTGCCTCTCTCCCTCTCCCTCTCTGTAAAAATATATGTATATACAGTTATAGATCTACATAGATGTATATATACATACACACATACATGTGTGGTAGCTCGCTCGCCCTCTCTCTCTCTCTCTCCCTACCTCCCTCCCTCCCTGTTATGAATATAAACATATGCATGATATGAATATGTGCTTGTGTGTATATATACATGTATATGTGGTAGCTCGGGGTTATACATGGCTTTCGGAGACGGGCCACACAGGGTCCAGGGCTGCGGATTTATTTCTCGCTAAGGGAAGATTAGGTCTCATGCCGCGGGGCCGTACAGTTTCCATTTTCAGGGCCTTCTTTGCACAGCCTAGGCTTAAATGGTTTAGGGTCTGGGTTCTTGTCTCAAAACAGAAAGCTTCAGGGGCCCTTTGACTATGCAGACTGCTGACGAGTCTTCTTGCTGATTGAAACGCTGCCCGGTCAAACCAGCAAAAGACACTCTGCAGCTGATAGGGTCAGAAGTATGCACAGAAGGCAGTCATTAATTGGTATTACGATTATTTGTGTTATTGCTGTTGATATATGGAGTTACAAGTTCCAGGGGCAACGCAATGTTCTGGGAACGGGTTGCAAAATGTCCCAGGCAGCTATGCAAGACGATGGAGTGAGATCAAACTCAGCAGACATTCACCCAACCCCTCAAAGATGAAGTACGCCAGCGCGTTAGCCTGAAAGTTCTGGTTGAGGCAGTCAGTGTTTGGCATCATGCTATGCTCCAAGGTCTACCCAGCTGACCCCTGCAACCCCGGTCATCGCTACAACGCCCTAAACCCCGAACCCATAAACCCTTGCAGCTCCCAGGTGCAATTCCGCCGGAGGGAGAGCCCCAAGGTTGACATTCCGCCATGCCTGCCAAAGTTCGACTCCTAGACCTGGCCAATCTTTATCTATAGACAGGGTTGTATAAGAGCATTATCCCAATCATGGAGGGTCAAGTGGAAAAGACACAAGTTGAAAATGAAACGGAAAGCGGGAGTGTATACGTCGCCGGCAAACATACTTAACGGATCCGAATGGCCCAAAGTAGCCGCATGTAGACGCATGTAGACGCCATCTACAGGCGTTGGTGCCCAAAGTAGGTACTGCTCGTTGACTTAGATCCCCAAGGAATGACATGAGAGAAGAACCCAGGAACACTCACTAATCAAAAGCAATATGAGTGGTACGGAGCTCAGTAAGATTGTCATAGCCGCAAGAGCGGCGATTGCAGCGGCTGCGGCGGCGGCGGCGGCGGCAGCGGTGGTGGTATTGATGGCCACGATGTAGCGTTTAGGGTTCGGGGCCTTTCAAATCATGGCCTCAATCCAATACTAGTTTCCCTAAATAGGGGGACCCCAATATAGACCCCGAAAAAATGATAATCCTCGGTATAGGTACCCCTAAAAAGATACCCTAAAAGTGTCCCTAGTAGTTTGTGAAACTTCCAATGGCACAATGGACCCTGCAGCCATCTTGGACCTCGCCCGTCCAAGATAAGGACCCGCCTCCTGGAAACCCTAATGTTTTTACTTTAAGGGAAGTGAGGGAGTGAATGTAATGTACTTACTGCTGCTTCAAGGGGAGTGAGGGAGTGAATAGAATCTACTTACTGCTGCTTAAAGGGGAGTGAGTGAATGAATATAATCTACATACTGCTGCTTAATTAAGGGGAGTGGGGCTGTGAATATTGGGATGCTTATTGGGGTCTCTATGGGGAGTATATAAGGATTCTAATAGGGATCCGCTCCCTCACTCTCCCCTAAGCACCAGCAAGCGGAACAGCAATGAATCTTCTCACACCAAATTCTCAAATGCAGCTTATGACAGCTACAGTCTAAACTCCTATTATCACCCTTAGAAAGCCCTAACTAATCCCTATACGACCCTCAACCCTAAACCCCATATGGCTCATATGAGCCATGACATGAGGACTCTTCCAACTCGTGCAAGCCTCCCTTGGGTCATCTTCGAAGGCCTCCTTAGTGCGGTATCCTAAAGGGTGTCTTAGGGTTTGGGGTTTGGAATTTAGGGTTCATAGGGGGTTAAAGGGGGATATATATGGCGGTTGCATAGGAAGTCATCTGTATATATATATATATACGCATATATGTATAGGGGTACAAGTGTAGGGGGTTTGTAGGGGGATATATGAGGGCTATATGAGGTTATTTTGATATATATATATATAGAGGAGGTTGTATAGGGTTTAGGGTTTCGGGAAAATGGGGAGAACCCATGCCTCTGACGCTTCCACTTGTGGTGCTCTGTAGTTTCAACGATGTGTATATAGCTGATTGCTGAGGTAGGCATACTTTCGAGCATGGATTCTCCCACACACTGTTACACACGCACATGTAGTAATATTGATAAGAAGAATAGCAATTGTGACAGTCATGACTCACAGTAGTAAAAGGTAGTAGCAACAGTAATAATAAGAGTGGTAATGATAATAATGGTTGGTTTGCTTGCATGGGTTGATTTTCAAGGCTGCAGTTAGGGGTAATGAGCCCACATGCCAACACCTAAACACAAGCAAACAAAGCCATGGAAAAGCTCTCCGTCTTCGTTGTTCCGACAATGCGCAATCCTCTGTATGATGAACTGCAAAGACATGAGCTGCGCTGTCTCCATCAGTAGGTGAGGCCCAAGAGCCCTGAAAAGGCCCCGACATCACTTGAAACTTAGTTGTTGGAGTCGGCGATGAGGGTTTGGGGCCTCAGAAAAACCCCATAAACCCTAAACACCGTGGCCGGTCATATGGCTTAAGATGCATACCCAGGGTTACTGGATTTCTACGATGCATGTTGGATGTCTGGCGCTTTTGTGACCGGGACTGGAGAATATTCAGTTTAAGGGTTTAGTGTTTATAGTCCCCCCTAGTATCTAGAATATGGGGTATATGGGATCTTATTATGATACACCCAATTCAAAGCCATATTCTGTCTACTTAAGGGCAACTAGAGGGTGGTGAGACTAAAAGGTTTGCTCTGGGCCTTCAGAGGGCTTACTGAAGTGAATGGGGTGGCATCAACAGCAGCGTCCGAGTCTGTGTGAGGTCTTCAACGAGGAAAGCATAAGTTTGAACACATTCCGGCCTGACACAGATCCTTAAAGAGACCCGAGGACCCTCTCATGACATCTCACGACCATCTTGGACATTATGCAAACAGCCTCAGTCAATACTTCAGCTTGCAAATTCAAAGCACACGTACTTATCCACATTGTGTTCCTTTCCTGGGACAAGACGCGCTGCGGGAACTTTTCAAAGAAATTGCAGGCGGGAGCAGGGCCCCCTTACCAGTTTTTCCAACGGCTCAAATCTACTCTGCCTGCTGGCTACCCCTGTGACATCTTTTGGAATAGCAAACAAGCAGGGTAGACTTGCTTGCTACCAGCTACCCTGTAACATCCTAAATCCCTGAAACCTCCAGAAGGTCAGACGTGTCTATTACTGCAAGTAAGACCCTAAGGATCCAAATAGCCCAATGTAGGTAATATTTACAGACTTTAGGGCCCAATGTAGGCATTATTTGTATACTTGGATCCCTAGGGAGACTTTTAAGGTTCAGAGCGTAGGGCTCATGGCTTAGCTTGTTGGTTACACCGCCAAGGAGCAAGGTCCAGCGCTGCAGCATCGTACGGGGCGCTGAGGAGCCTTCAGGGAAGGGACTGCTTGAGGATTTTGAGGTCCAGTTGAAACGGGCGGGAATGTGTTTGAAAGAGGTATAAACGGGTTGTACAGGGTATCTGTTATATTGATACATGTATACATGAGTATACGTATCAATGCAAATATAGATAATATATATATATATATCTATCTATCTATATGTGCAGATGAGGTTGGTTTAGACTTCGGAGCTTTTGATGCAGCCGACAGGAAGAACTTCTACGAGGGTTCTCCGCAATTCGGCCGCGGCACTTAGCAAGATCCTCTGTCCGTACTTGTGGGCTTAAGTATCTAGGATGATCGGGCAGGGATGGCTGCAGGATTTGAAAGCAGTACGGCGGTACATATGCGCTATACTGACCTTCCTCTAAGATCCGTTGAAGTACTAATGCCCCACAATTCCAATAACTAAAAAAGACGCCCTGACTGCGGATCGGGATTTCTTGATAAAAAAATGCCCCCAACCTGATGCCATATTCCCTGCGCCAACCCACGACTTTGGCGATTAAGGGCTTGCCCGTAAACCTCACATGGTACGAGTAGCGTTTCTAAATCATAGTCCCACCAAAGCCGGCTTGCACTATGGATTGTGCCGTCCTGGCAGAGCTGTTGTGTCGTCAATGTCTCAGTCTTGCTTCGTTTGTACTGCCACTCCTGAAGTTGGCTTCGGCTGAGATAACTATTTCTTCGAGTCATGCTCCCAAAACCAGAAACCATGCTTTAGGAAGTCCTCAAAGGGCTATGCCTCAGTCCCATTTCTTCCAATGGGATCCGGTAGTACAACATCCTTCCTAAAAACAGACAGTTGTGTGCGCCTGATGTAACAACAACGACTCCCACGCTTCCATGGCCCCGGCCTCTGAACTTCTCTGAGAAATGCAGCTGCTGTGTCACCTGCGCAGAGGTTGGGCCTTGGGGTATGGAGAAGAGTCTTTGGCTCACGGAGTTTTGGACTTATTGATAGAAATTGTTGGCGCCCCAGAGACA